AAGCTCCAGATGTTTCCGCTCCATTGTTCAGTTTTTCCTCAGGAAGAGGGAGAGTTTCCATATCAGCTCTCCCAGAGACTGGAAGTCCTTGCAGGGGTGAGGAGGGGTGAAGCAGACCCTTGTCCTGAGAAGATGCACTAGATGCAAATCGAGGGTTAAAACTCCCCACCAGACCTTCATAGAAACGACTTCTGCCCTCCTCGGTGCTCTTCTTCACCCCCTTCTGAGCAACAGTAGCAGTTTTTGTGACGATAGTTCCTGTCTGAGCCCAATCCTCCGAGGAATTCCTCCACTCATCCTCCCAAACTATGACCAGAAACAAATGGGGGTGAGGACGGAGTGGAAAGCACAACATCCGTAACATTTCTCTAACACACATCAGATAAGAATTTTCCAACTGGTTTAATGCACAAAACACATTTTCACACCCCACTGCCTGAATAAACCAAGTGTAGTTTTACTGTTAAACCAAAACAAAACCCAAAACAACTTTCATCCAAACTAAATTAGGACCATCGCATGATCCACAAAGTGAGCCCATGGTGTCCAAGTTTAGACGGTTTAATTGAGGAATGTTTTCTCACCAAAATAAAGCAGCTGAAGTGAATCTGAGGAGCGTCCTCCTGTCCAGCTGAGGGTGGCTTTGTTCCTGTCACAGCCGGACAGCAGAGCCGTGTCCCCGCTCCGCAAGACCTGATCTTTGCTCCCAACACAACGCACCGAGATCCTCGTGCCATATTCTGACCACTCCAACTTTAAAAGTACAGTCTTCCCCGAGGGAACGTCTAAGCCCCAGGTGCAGTTCTGTAAGGTGCCAGACTGCTGGGTGACAGCGTCGAGAGTCCAGGAGTTGTTAAAAAGTTCAGGCAGAGAGAGTTTGATGTAACCAGGCTGTTGGTCCAGGCTGACATTTCCAACACACCGTTGGTCCGAGGCTCGGATTTCATCTGAAAGGAGATGGCCGACATCATTCTCCTGAAAGATGTGAACTTTTACAGTAACTTTGGTTAATGTGGTCATTTACAGCGTCCCAAACCTTTTAGCTTCCAACTCACAAAACTACATTAAAGGCTTGAGACCCCATCCATTGGTTTGCTTAAGTGCACAACAACAACAACACACAAAAAAAGTACCATTTTTGATAATCTGTACCTATTACTTTTATTCTTTGCAACAAATATGATGAGAACATGCCAATCTCCATGTCAATTTAAATGCAAGTTCATATATAGATTATCTGAGGACCCCCAGTTGGTGTCTTCATCAGGGCTATTCAACTAAACTGCTCAGGGGGCCACAGTTACTGAAAGCCAGCAGCTCAGGGGCCGGACATCCAGCAATTAGTCATTATGTAAATAAACCAAAGTTTACAATGATCTGTTACTTTTTACATGAACCCCCCAATTTTTTTTTCAATCTATCTATCCATCCATCCATCCATCCATCCATCTACATCTTTTTATATCTACATATGTCTATATCTAATAATAAAAAAATAATATAATTTTATTTTTATGAAGTCATTGGTGGGCCGGAAATGGCCCGCACTCCACCAGTTGAATAGCCCTTCTCTGGGTCCACAGTGGGGTCCTCCTGATCTCAAACTTTGGGAAACACTAGTTTATAAAATAGAATAGTTTTTATTGTCACTGCATGAATTGTGCGATTCAGAGAGCCTTCCTACTTTTTAGTGTAAATACAACCTCCTTCCAACAACAACAACAACAACAACAACAACAACAACAACAACAACAACAACAACAACAATTATTAAAAAGCAAACAACTTATAATAAAAAAAACCAATAGTTCCTTCCACACAACTGCATTTCAGAAGTTTAATGACTCATCTGAACAGTCCATCTGAAAGTGAAGGGGTAAAATATATATATATATATTAGCTTCATTTAACTTGAGATAATAAGGAGTTGTCAAAAAACAATTAGAAACTTGTTTTTTCAAGTTATTAAATAGAGGTTAAAAACATTACAGTAAGCTGCTATATATATATATAAAGACTTTAATAGAAGCGTTCGTTTAAATTAAGTCAAATAGTTTGATATTTATAAAAAGATATTATTGCAGTTTCGTGTAAACTGAGGTAAATTAGATGATCCTACCTGCTGTGAGGAGAAAAAGCAACAGACAGACGTGGAGCTGCATTTCCAGTTTTGAGACATTTCAGAGTCGGATACCCGTTTATTCGGAAATTCTTGTAATTATTATTTATTTATTAGTAGTATTATTATCACCATCATTATTTAAACCTTGTCTTTGACGCGACAAACAAAACCCTCAAAGCGCAAATGGTGTCCGGTCTTCCTGCGGACAGCTAAAAGCCAGAGGCGTCCCGGACCTTCCCTCCTCCATCACGGTGTCTCCTCCAGTCCGGGGCTTCGCGCCGCTCATTAACGCAAATCAGAAACACGTGCGTGGTTCAGACCGCAGCTCCTGGTCCTGATGAGCCTCAGACACACCGCCTCCGGGCGGAGACGGAGGATGAAACTAAGGCGTCCTCTGGTCTCTGCGGGAGCTGCTTTTTACACACACGCTCCTCAGGAAACCCAGCGCCAGAGGAGGCTTTTTATTAAACACTGAGAAAAAGAAAGAACGAAAAAAGCTCAATATCTAAGTTATAGCCATTTTTTGTTATGGCTAAAGATTAGCTGTTGCTAATCAGTTGTAAATGTCCATCCAGTGATTACTCTGAGAGGTTCATTAAAACCCAGCAGACAGGATTGACTCTAGCAATAAATAAAATAATCAAAATACACACATTTGAAGTACTTTAAGTACTTTTCAAACAGGAAGTCGGTCCCAGCCAGTCCTTCCTTCTATTTTAGTGATGAATGGTGTTTCTATTGATTTTGTCGATGCTTATAAATACTTGGGTATTTTGGTCGAGCCACATCTCTCTTTTAAGCCTCATGTGGAAAACTTGGTAAAGAAACTGAAAGTTAAACTGGGATTCTTTTTCAGAAATAGATCCTGTCGTACTCTGAATGCTAGGAAATGCCTTGTAACTGTGACTTTCCTTCCCTCCATTGATGCATTATTCACATGAACATCACAGTGCGCTAAGATTCATAACTGACTGTACCCACCACTGCACCCTGTATTCACTGGTTAACTTGTCATCATTAACTTCATGTAGACTCTCTCACTGGTACATTTTCATCTTTAAATCGCTGCCTTCATACATCTCCTACATGTCACAATGTGAGTGCAGCTACAGCGTGCGCTCTCAGGACATCATTACCTGCAGTGTCCCCTCAGTGCGGACTGAACTTGGAAAAAGAGCCTTCTCCTACTCCGTTCCTGTTTCCTGGAATAGCTTGCATAAAGATCTCGACCTTGACCTCTCTAAGGGATTTTAAACAATTGCTATAAGTTCATGGCAAAAACCAATGCAGACATGTTCCTGTTTTTAGTTTTCTACAACACTGAATGATCATTCGCCAAATGCCACTGAATGATATCTTTCTCCCAGGACATCCTTGTAAGAGATATTATTAATCTTTTCTTTCCTGGTAAAATAAAGGTTTAAATAAAATTTTAAAATTGGAGGTCAATGTGACACTCATTAGGGTTTTATAAAAGTTGCATTAGTAAATAACCAGTATTCCTCACCTTTGTTATGGATTTTTTTCTGTTGGAGTTCACAATAACTCCTCATTTTTGGATATTTGCTTTAGAGCTCTCCATTTCCCCAAATTCCACTACTTCTGTCGCCTCCCATCCTTACAGCTGTTAGTCACTGTTACTTTTGAGAAGAGAGAACTTTTAGCATTTTGCCTTCGACGTGGCGTCTCTGAATCCATCGTCATCCCCCTGATCACATACAGGGATTATTCTGTTTACTTAATATTCTGTGTCAAGACTGTCCATGAATATTTGAATATAAACAAACGACTTGTAATTGCTGGCAGCAAAACATGACACTGCTGTTTTTGATCTTTTACTACAAATTGTGCATATATTTTGGTAAAGGATGTGTAAATGAAATGCACATACAGAAAATTCAGATACAAAACACCAAAAGAATTTCATATTTTTGCAGCTAATGTGGCTTTAAACACTTTTAGGATATGCAGGGTTGTGTCAAGGTTAAGCATGAATTTCACTTGGTACCACTTTAGACTTTTATGTCTGTGGTGCCGCCCGACCTGATTCAGAATGGCTGCCAGCGTTGCCAACAACAACCCTAGCTATTTATTTATACTTTTTATTTTTGGTGTTATTGTAGACTTTGGAAAATGTAGTTATGAATATTTTAGTGCTTTTTTTGTGTTTTGGTTAGTGTGGTTTAACAATTGCTAAGCAGCTTTTGCCTCTTGTTAAATAGAGAATAAAAACAAAATTCTAATGATTTTTTTTATTTCTTCCATATAGTTTTGAGCCTTAGGTAAAAGTAACTAAACAGTCCCAGGGCAGCCTTTGAACAGCTTTGACGTCACCCACCTCAAATAAAAAGGTCCCACTCTTATGTAGTATTTTATTGTTTTACTTTTGTGAATTTTAAACGGCTCCAGAGAAGGTTATTATTGTACCCCAGCATGTTTAGTCTAAGTGGGTTCAGGCTTTAAGAAGACTTTGATTATTTCTAAATTGTCCTTAGGTATGAATATGAGTGTGCACGACTGTCTTATGAGTCTTGGATGTACGGGCACCCTGTCCAAAGTGTATCCTGTACATCATATGTTTCCTAACTTACAGAAATAAAAATAATAAAAGCATATTACATGAACAAACAAACAACAAACACGTCTGAAAATTCTTTATTTCTAATAAAAAGTCGTGAAAAACTGACTCAAGAAATTGACAGGTATGGCACATGCGCATTGTCAAGAACAAATAACAGCTGATTGTTGTTTATTTAAAAAAATTGGAAAACAAAAACATAATTTTCATTTTTGTCATTATGTATGTTATATATGATCAAAACTTATTTCATTGAAACTTTAGCAAATACCAGATCAAGAGTTCTTGTATTGGATGTGGTCAAAGAAAACCCTGCAGTCTTCCCAGGGATGTTTGTTTCTGTGGATTTGGTTTATAACGATCACAGCTGTTACCAGTCAGATACTGGTCACAGCTCAGAGTATATTTGACTTCGATGCCGCCTCTCTTAGCTGGACAGGTGAAGCTGTGTGACCCCTGGCTCAGGTACGTCACACATGACCCGAGAAGGTCATCGTGCTTCAAGTCCTCGTCCCAAACCTCAATCCTCAATCCAAATTGTGTGTTCACCTGCAGAAGAAAATTAGAATTAGGGTAAGGCTTGATTTTGTGTTATCCATCTGGTATTGAGAGGATTTGTATGGACAAGTGAGAACAGATCAAATTATTATAGATAAAGGATCAAATGCAGAAAGTCTAAAAGTAAAATTGTTCCATTGTATTTATACTTTTTAACTGCTTCACATATGTGAAGCTGAATAGTGGGATTAGTTTTTCACTCAATATTCCTTTTAGAACACGTAAAGAGAAACTTTACTGACCTGGCCTAAATTATAATGAGCGTTCCACCAGGGATTGTTTGATCGGATCATATGGGTCCTGCGATACATAGAACCATACCACATCTTGACATAGCTGTAATTAGACAAAGAAGGGATACATTAGTATTGCTTGTATGTAAGATAAGAACCTATGACTTTTGCGTAAACCCACCTGTCAGTGTTCCCAGTTAAATCTCCTTTCAGATTCCAGGCCCGGACAATGGTCACTGTCAAAGTCCCCCTGGAGGCCTCCATAGGACAGCAGTTGAAGGCCAGGTTAGGTGTAGACCCATCACACTCAGGTTCTTTGGGGGATATCTTAACAGCATTGTCTTCCAAGTACTTCTCAATAGTCGCCTTCATCCCTGCCTTCTGTGTCTCACTTGGCATGAGTTGATAAATTGGCCGAAGGGAGTATGAAACAACGTCTGGGTGGTCATTCAGTGAGTCCAGCCATGTCATATAACCCAAGGAATCATTATGAGTTAATGAAAACTCCCCCAACCATCCATTGCCTCCTGATACCTCTGTGGAGTGTTGGTGGAAACCCGAGCTGAAACCAGTGGAGACATCCTGGTTCTCTAGGACTTTTTTACAAGACTTTTGGACACTGGATAACTTAAATTTCCCCAAACCAACAGCAACACCCGCTGATATACAGGAGTGGACCTGCAGGACAGGTAGAGCAATGAGATCATAAACAATGCCATAGAAAGTTTTGGACACATGTAGGTAACATGTGAAATTGTCCTATAAACAACTAGTCAATACACTGACCATCCATCCAACCAATCAAACAACCAACCAACCAACAAATCTATCAGTCAACACACCAACCATCCATCCAACAATCCACAAGTCAACCCACCAACAACCATCCATTCAACCAGCCAACTAACCAACAAGTCAATATGCCAACCACCCAATTTACAAACCAACCAGCCAATGCACCAACCAGCTAGCCAACCAACCAAACAAGCAAGTCAACCAACAACCAACCAACAAATCTATCAGTCAATACACCAACCATCCATCCAACCAACCAACCAACAAGTCAACCAACCAACTAAATACATATAATTTTTTTTAGATATGTGCCTTTTGTTTTGGTCAGTCAAGAAGGTACATGTTAAATGTGTATCCTGAAATAAATCAACAAAATGATGGAAATTATATAGTTAAACAGTAGTTTCATTAAAAATATATATTTTGATCCAAAAACAACAATGGTAGATATCTCCTTTTTTTCTATTCCTGGCTATACTAGTTTTGTTTCAGGTAACAATGACATTTCTTCTTCTGTCAGCCATGTACGGTTAATTTACCTCGTTGGAGGTTAACCCGTTCAGTGAGGACAAACAGGTTCGTGAAGCTGTCACTCGTCTCAGTCGTCCCCCAAGATTAACCTAAAACAAAGTTCAATGTTGAAGATACGTTTTCATTTATTCATAAAACAACTTAACTTGTGAGTTTGAACCTGTCGGATGTAGTGTGTGCCATAGGTGTTGATGAGCTCCTTAAACAGAACTGAGGTGGATGAGTTGTAGTGACTTGGCAGCCTGGACACATCCTTTGTGAACTCAGAGCTGAAGGGTGGTCTCGTTGAGACGCGGTAGCTAGAGAGAAAAAATTGAAATAATTTTAATTCATTTCAAAAACCTAATGGACAAAGTTGAATGTCAAATGTCAAAGAATGCAATAATATGTTTATTCACTGCCTACCCATAATGGCTACAGGTCACCCTGTGTGCACTAAAAGTGTAGCGGTCCTCTCTGGTCCTTTGGGAAGCAAAGTTGTAAGTGGCGGAGCTTGTTCCTCCCACCTCCAGGCCAGCAGATACATACTTTTCAACATCCAGACCGACCTGAAAAATTATACAATAAAATTAGGTTGATGACTTGTTGGATCTCTGACGTTGGTTTAATTCTAGCTGAACACACAACTAATGCACACTAATAGCCACTAAACTCTAAAATAGTCTGTCTTAAGATGTAAACAGAATTCAAGCAGTTAAAAACAGAAAACCAAAAAGTGAGGATTGTTCAGGTCATCCTTTCCATTACATCAACTCAGTAGTACTACCAATATTCTGAAAAGCAAATTTTGTGCCAACAGTAATTGTAAGATTCAAGGTTCAAGGTTCTTTACTGTCGTTCGCATCACATGTGGTACATGAGGTGGAACAAAATTGTTGAACGAAAGACGTTTCCTACCTTCCAGTCATTGCTCTCTTGGGCTGTGTAAGTGTTGATCAGTGAACTGTGAACACAATTTAAAGAAAAATAAATACATTTTGTTCACTGGAAAGGTGGTGAACCATTAATATCATGCATGCATACATGCATATTTGCATGTGCAAATAGCATCAGTAGCAGCTAGCTGTAGCACTTCCAGTGCAGTCTGGTGCAGCGCCTAAAGAAAAATCATAATGTTGCTGGTTAATGATGCAATGTCAAATTGACAGTAGTATAAAGGTTTATAAAATCATGTCTGTTTTAAAATGAAAGCTACTGGTAACCACTTTGTTCTTGGCCTTGCCCAGTCTAGCCTTTAGATTAGTAGTTTATTTCTCCAAACTGAGGTTGTTCAAAGAGTCACCTGCCTCAGGTAAGATGTTGCTCAAAACCTTTCTCTTTAAATTCTAATGAACATGGGAAAAATAAAAGGGAAGAGAAATCTGAAATTGTCATGACCGTATGTGATGTGAAATTAGTTCTCTGCATTTAACCCTAACTGTTCAAAGGGAGTTTTTCCTTTCCACTGTTGCCGTTGTGCTTGCTCAGGATGGGAGACAGAGACAAAGTGAAGATTCAACACAATCCGCTGCCTTCCTTAGATAGAGAACTTTTACAAATGGCTTTCAGAATGTACGTGAATGTTTCTGTTCAGTGCCCTGAGACGACTTCTGTTGTGACTTGGTGCTATAGAAATAAACTGAGCTGAATAGTTGTGGTGGTAAAACAGCATTATATTCTCAAGCTATGAGCAAAACAGTTTTTGTAAACTAGAAGTTTCCCAGTTGAGTTTTCCCACCAGGATACAGCTTTAACTCTCACTTGAAAGGCACCGAGTGAAAACAAGTTTGTCGCGCCAAGACTGTTGGAAAACATTTTTTGTGATATAACTTGTTCTGTGATCGTAATGCTTTACCTGCTAGATGTGTGATAACTGCTGTAGATATCAGCACTGCATCGGCTGAATGCACGCCAGTCCACCACAGAAACTGGTAGCTGAAGAAGAAAAAGCAAATGACCCTGTTATGTCAGCAAAAGGTCTGTGCAGCCATTTCTTGAATTACTTTCTGCAGCCTTCTGCCTTGGAGAGGGTTGGAGCAGAGTGTGCAGGTTCTGCTTGGAGTGAGGTAAGTTTTCGAGTCAATCACGTAAGCCCCTTTCCTTTGCAGTGTGACCACATCAAAGCCCTCTCCCACCAAGTTGTGGCCTGGTACAAATGGAGCAGCATCACACTCGCTGTGGTTCCCGATCTGACAGGAGAGAACAGGAGACAGGAGGAGGAGGACGCTCAAGGGAAGATGGGATGAAGATGAGCAGGACACCATGGCTGGAGTCGAAGGGGCTGAAATGTTTCAGACAAAAACAAAAATGATGGGAAAAGACATGACAGCTCATTATTTTAACTTTATAGCAAATGATTTTGATCATCCAAAACACTGAATTTTCCTCACTTTGCCTCCACTCACAGACTCATGTTCATGTTTGTGGTGATGTTCAATGTTTTATGTTATGAGTGCTTAGTGTATATTTAGTTGATGTTTTTTTTAGTTCATATCTTAGATGTCATTACTGTTTTTCTTATACATTTTATTGTTGGATGTAACTGGGACCCTGCGTACATAATTTCGCTCCACCACATGTACCACATGAGGTGCGAATGACAATAAAGAAACTCTGACTCTGACTCTGACACTTATAGAGTCAGGTCCAGAATACTTCTAATGCTACAATCTGAGCTCATCATGACGTTATCCTATTTGTTTTTGCAGGGTGTTTTAATGTGGAGGTGAGAAGCTGCAAACATGTGACATTAATAGTTTTACATCCTAAAATAAGCTTTTGTACTCAAAACCAATAAATAATGATGAATTACAATAAACAAAGGCATTAAAGCATGTTCTCTACAAATTGTCTAAAATGGTGTGTTAAGAGAAGTTGGTAAAGTCTGCAGGCAGTGTTTTTGGTATTCTGCATACTGATGTTTTTCAAAGGCAATTTAAAGCAAAACTTTTGAAGTACGATTCTGAAGAAAAGTTATCCAAAAATAATATCTTATCTATTGTAGATATCCCTTTGAGCAGCCTCAGTTTGGAGAAATACTTCAGTTCTGACTCGAATGATGAGCTAATGGCTAGTCAGAGAAGTCTTTGCAGACCAAAGACCAAACAATGGATTGCTGCCATCTTCAATAAACTATGTAATTTTCATAATTTCCATGGTAGTACATATCAAGACTTTTTTCTAAACCTTTGACTGTTAGTAAGCAAAAATAACAGCAGCAGCTTGCTGTAGCCCTCCAAGTGCAGCCTGGTGTCTTTTTCCCCAGTAATATAAAATATTTTGCTGGAATAACTGTGTAAAGTGAAATATTCAAATATGTATTAAAGTGTTTACATGAAGTGTCATGAAAAAATACTACCATATGTTTCAGACTATAAGGTGCACTTAAAATCCTTTAATTTTCTCAAACATCAACAGTGAGCCTTACAATCAGTTGCGCCTTATGTATTAATTCTGGTTGTGCTTACTGACCTCGAACCAATTTTATGTGGTTATTGTGAATTAATTGAATAAAGTTTGACTTATCTGACTGTTTTGTTTCGCTTACTGCACTTTTTAATCCAGTGCGCCTTACGTGTGAAAACAGACCCGTTCATTGATATTATTCCTTATAGTCCAAGCAATAAGGTAGACTGATTTTGAGGCCACAACAATCCACTCTGGTCTTGGTCACACTTGGACTAGCTTTAAACTGTATTTCTCTAAAATGAGATAATTGCAAAAGTAATCCCAAACAGGTAAGACATAAAGAACATGTAAAACAGGAAACTGCAGTTTATCAGTTGCAAAGTAAGTGACGAATTTACCAGTCTATCCAAACAAAACTAAGCTGTCAGAGTAGACTTCATGAAGACCAATCAAGATTTCTTTTTTTTTTTTGTGGAAGTGACATTTTCTATTCTAAATATTTGTGGAGTTACACATGGACAATTACTGTGTCCTGTCTTAAGGATGGACAGGATGGCACAGTCTAGAGATCAAAGGCTTTGATGTTAATCCTGGGATGTCAAGCTGCAGATTGAACAAGGTTTTACAAAGGTGTTGCCTGGTGCCATTGATTTCAATAGATAATATCTGACCTATGAGGTGTCCAGCTGTACGGTTTGGCATTCCTACATCACACGGTTACATACACAAGGTTTTCAATAAGGGGTCACCTTAGACCCTGACTTTTGACTCATGACTTTGAAATGAATTAGGGATCATGCTTGACCCATAAGCTCAATGGACCAAGCGCTAAATTAATATTAAATTCAGAGCTACTTCGGTTTCCTCCCACTTGGGAAGCCCATTTCCGTCATGAAATAAAAAATAAAAGCCCAACAGGAAGTCATAATTTCGAGTTTTAAAATCATAATTATGAGATTAAAAGTAATAATTTCGACTTTTAAAGTCATAATTATGAGAATAAAAGTCACAATTTCGAGTTTTAAAGTCATAATTTCGATTTTTCCAATTACATTTTTAAGTTTGTCCCTTACCAGACACCGTGACTCTACAGGGATGCAACTCAGACACTAGTAGTTTTCCTGCATAGCACATGGATTCATTCATTCAATGTATGTCCCTCTGCCTTCATACATCAATCCTTTTAAATAAAGGTATGTAATGTATACATCTTTTCATCTGCACTTATATAGCACTTAGTATCGAAGCCCATTTCCGCTATGAAATAAAAGCCCAACAGGAAGTCATAAATGTATGGAAGCCCATTTCTGCCATGAAAGAAAAAATAAAAGCCCAACAGGAAGTCATAATTTTGAGTTTTAAAGTCATAATTTTGAGGAATAAAAGTCATAAATTCACATTTTAAAGTCATAATTATGAGAGTAAACGTCATAATTACGAGTTTTAACAGACCATAAACCTGCATAGATTATCTGGTAATTGTCTCCAAGTGTGAGAGCATGAATGATTGTTTTGTTTGTCTCTGTGTCCTGTCATGGGATCTCCAGTGTCACCCATTGTTGCCAATCTCTACATGGAGGAAGTGGAACAGAGAGCCCTAAACTCCTATGAGGGAACAACGCCAAGCCATTGGTTCTGATATGTGGATACCTGGGTCAAAATCCAAGCCAAGGAAATAGAAACATTCACCAGACACATCAACTCGGTTGATAACAAAATCAAGTTCACCAGAGAGGATGCAAACAACAACAAGCTGCCTTTTTTGGACTGTTAGATGGAAAGAGAGGACAGCCTTAACATTGAAGTTTACAGAAAACCAACCCACACAGACCAGTATCTTCTGTTTGACTCCCACCATCCACTGGAACACAAACTCTCTGTCATCAGAACTCTACAGCATCGGGCCGAACGCGTCCCCACGAAGACAGAAGGGAAGGAAAAGGAACAGAAACACATTCAAGAAGTTCTACAAACATGTGGATATCCTAACTGGGCTTTCAAGTCAGTGAGGAAATCTACAAAACACACTAATAAACAGAAAAAGGAGAACAACAGACATAAAAACATTGTCATCCCTTATGTTGCTGGAGTATCAGAGAAATTCAGAAGGATCTTCAACAAACACAAGATCCCAGTACATTTCAAACCCAGCAGGACTCTCAGACAGAGGCTGGTCCACTATGGCAAGCCCTTTTAACATAAAATCGAGTAGTCTGACTATCTGTAGTTACATTCTAGATATCTTAAATTGAGTTTTGACTAGGCACAATTACATTTTGACTAGTCAGAATGCTAATTTAAGATATCTTGAATTACATTCTGACTAGTCAGAATAACAATTCAAGATATCTTGAATTACATTTTGACTAGTCAAAATGTAATTCAAGATATCTTGAATGACGTCACTTTATTTGTCATTTGACGGGTCAAACATCCGTAATTACAATTCAAGATATCTCGAATGTAATTATGACCAGAGCCCTGTAAAGAGAGAGTTGCGACACTCCCATAGACTCCCATAGAAAGAATGGAATGCGGAAGTCACGTGGGTCATGCAGCGGCAAAGAGTTCCAAACAGCAGCGGGTTCAGCATTGAACGTAGTACATTCTCCGTGTTTTCCCGGTAAGTTGATGCAAATACGACACTTTTTTGCCATTGTGAAGAGTTATCTGACTGTTCTGTACCACAACTTATCAACATTAATACTTCATGTCACCAGTTTTAGTTAATGAAACATGTTAAATTACTAGTGTTTTAACTGCAGCTGCTCTGCAACATGACGGTTTAAACGGGTCTATTTCTAATTCAGCGTTTTAAAATATCTATTACTGCTTACATTTTGAAAGGTGGTCTTTTTTAAATTTATGGTAATTCCAGTTACTGAACTCAACTAGAAAATATTTGGTCTTTTTTTCTGAGAGATTCATTCAACCTTTATTTCTACAGGTAAATCCCATTGAGCCTCGAGGACTCATTTACAAGAGAGACCTGATTTAACAAAGAATCATGACAACATGACAACAAGACTGATGTAATTTAAAGTTATAGATCATTTGTCAAAGACTGCAGCATAAATTGTGACATTATCATTAAAGAAAAATGTGATTGTGGAGATGAGTCAATGTTTTCATGTTTTCCAGGTAAACCAGAGGAGAATGACTTCATGAACTGAATGTTGCATTCAAAGTATCACAAAGGTACAAGATCTCATTTTCTGTCTTCTATTAAACAATAACAGCTTAATCAAGATGTTTGAATACAATTACTTTAACACCATAACCTTCACAAAGTTGGTATTTACTGCAGGACTGTTCATTTACATTAGTTTTATATTATTAGTTTAGTGTTTGGTAATCATGGGTCAAGTTGAGAGGAGACTCTTTCAAGACAGAACAAGAAATAAGAATTATTACCAAGAATATATCAGCATCAATAAACTGTAGGACAGTAACAAAACACTTATTAAACTATCACAGGTACATTGAGACGGAGCTGGAAGTTATTCTTCATGCCAGTTGTCTTCATCTGATCTTTTGTAAAAATATGTCAGAATTTATTTTCCATTAACATTTTTCTTCACAGGACTGAGTTAATTTTCTTGTCTGTGAGTTTCTTCTGTCCTGCTCATGTATGTTTTTGTGTTCTAATTGTTCCTCAGCTTGTTCATCTCTGTTCCCTGACTGCCTGTTGATCCATCCTCCTGGTCCTGTTGATCCATCCTGGTCCTGTT